TGTAGGTAGCTTAAGAGATGCTTGGCATAATTATGTGACAATTATGCAAATTAGGATGTAATTTGAATTATTTATGAGGAAATTCTATAAAACAGCTGCATTGCAAAATTGGACTATTCAAGCTTGTGGCTCAATTACATAATTGAGAACGAGAGAAACGCAGACAGATTTTGATTATGTGACGTAAGACTCAATCTGCATAATTAATTAATTAGAAAATGTTATATTTTAACAATGGTTAGTGCCTGAAATTTCATATTGGGGGTATTTAAAAGTTAGGTGAAGGTGAAAGATAAGACTTTTGTTGGAGAATATGATCAACTGATATAATTTAAGAAAATGGGGATCTTTTTTTGCATAAGCAGGGGGAATAACCCATATCCATGAATAAATAAAGATAAACATCATTTGGCGAAGGTATGAGGTCGTGAGGTAGTAAATGTTAATGTTATTCAAATAGCCAGCTTTATCAGACAATCAACACCATGGTATCCTCACCTCACCTCACCACGTGCACGTAAGACTAATATTGAGTTGTTTGTCACACGGCGTCACGGATCAGCTACGAAAGGACGACTGACCCTACAAGAACAACAACAACCTGTGCTCTCGTTTCTGTCAAGAAAGTGCCAACCGAAGCTGTTTACACTCACTTGAAAGGTATGTTCATAAACTGTTGGGTCGTGTGGCGTAGCGGTAGCGTGTTCGGCTTAGACCCAAGAGGTCCCGGGTTCGAATCCTGCCCGGTGTCACCGATCTTGTGCCCTTGGGAAGGCACTTTACACGACTTGCGTCACTTCACACAGGTGAAAATGAGTACCTAGCTTCGGTTAGGGACGCCTCTCGGATAGGACGTTAAATGGAGGTTTGCGAACAGACACACCCAACGCATGTTTTAAGAACCCACCGCACTTATCGAAAAGAGTAGGGGACCTTCCCAGAGTGGTTCAAACCTTACAGTCTGGTCTCAGGTTTGACATCTTGAAGAGGTGATAGTCACCTGTTATGTCAATCCTTCCACAAATATGGTGAATATTTATAAAATAAAATAAAATAAAATAAAATAAAATAAAATAAAATAAAATAAAATAAAATAAAATAAAATAAAATAAAATAAAATAAAATAAAATAAAATAAAATAAAATAAAATAAATAAATAAAATGAAATAAAATGAAATGAAATAAAATGAAATAAAATAAAATGAAATAAAATAAATATAATAAAATATTTACATATGCGTGGTAACAGGGAACTGTATCTACAATGCGGTCTCAATTCAAAACGTACAGTCAGAATTGCTCCGAGGAAGGTGACAGACGGTCACCAAAACATCGCCTAAAATAAAAGACTTGGTTGTGTAAAAAGAGTCTCTTTTCTTAGTCGTGGTCTGTTTAAAATGTTTGTAAGGCTTGAAATGTTTTTGAGGCTTACGGTTTCACACAATCATGAACATATGGCAAACACCTTTTACAAGTATTTGTCTGGTTTTAACATAAGGTTTTGGACGATTGCATTATTGAAGAGTGCACGTGACTAAAAAAACAATCCTATAATAAATGATATTTCAGATATAGGCAGCTGAACCTTTAAAAGAGAAGCTTTATATTTTCTATCCTTCCGCTGATTTTCCAATCTAGGAGGTAAAACATGGCCATAACTAGAGTCCCACGATCTCATACCTTCGCCAAATGATGTTGATCTTTATGACTGAAAAAGATGATTCCTTCTGATTATGCAAATAGGATCCTCATTTGTATTATATTTATATTATAATATTGTATTATAATATTGTATTATATAGTTGATCATATTCTCCATCAAAAGACAGCCTTATCTTAACAAAGAAAGCCATTCTATCATTTCCTCATAAATTATGCAAAAGAGGTCCTTATTTGAATACGTTATGTTTCATGATGTTCACCTTCACTTAACTTTCAAATACCCCAAGTATGAAATTCTACAGTTAGCATTATGGAATTATAACATTTTCTCATTAATTATGCAAATTAGGTGTTAATTTACATAATCAATATCTGCCTGTGTTTCTCTCGTTCTCAATTACATGTCAAAAGCTTGAATAGTCCTATAATGTAATGAAGCTGATTTATAGAATTTCTCCATTAATTATGCAAATTAGATCCAGATTTGCATAATTGTCGCATAATTATGTCAAGCGTCACTTGAGCTACCTACATACCAAAAATCACGACGATCCGTCCACCGGTTCTTGAGTTATCCTCTTTTGAATATTTTCAAACAGATAACCCTGCAGTTCCTGAACAAGCCGCTAGGGGGCCCAAACTCATGTCACTTCTTCCCCAGCATGAGAGCTACCTACCATCCAATTTTCGTCACCCCAGCATGTCTAGATCATGAGATATCAAAACCGTAAGTTTAGCTGCAGTACCATAACAAGCCGCTAGGGGGTCCAAAATCTAATCATTTCCAGGTCTCATCAAGACCTACCCACCTACGAAATATCAAGATAATCCATCTAAGCTTTCTCAAGTTATGCTGTTGACAGACAGACAGACAGACAGACAGACAGACACACGGCCAGGAAAACATAACCTTCGTCAATTCTTGGCGAAGGTAACAAGGGCATTATCTCTATATAAAGTCCTCCGCCATTGAAATTAATATTCAAGCAGCAAGTCCCAGACAATTAACATGTTTATTTTACTAAGACCCGTGTAATGTAGGACTGGTTGTTGCTATAAAGTAACAAAAACCGAGATACGTATCCTACAAGCTGAGCGGCAAACAAGAACAAAATCCACTTTGTAATTTGAAAAGTGAAACAAGAACTATTCAGTTGTTGTTGTGAATTTTACCACATCATGTACATTCCTTTGCACTCTGATATCTTAAAATCACTGTAATAATTTTTGCAAGAGGTTTTAAGGCGGAAAACTGATGGGAGGACTATTTCAATCTGACTACATTTTCCCTTCTTTGTGAACCCAAAACATTCCCCATTTTCATGTTGATTGTCCATTTAAACATCATCTTTTAATTTGAGATTCAACACATAAAGTTGATTTGGCTTAGGCCACAGTAGGTACATTTTATGGATGACATGCTCCGCAGACTCAAAATCTAATGCAAGAGGGCGAAAAAAAAACAAGACGGGCCAAAAAACAAGATTCCTAATTTTTAAACTTTGACACCATAAACCATGTTTTAACATATTTTATTATGTCAACATTGTTTAAAAACAAGAAATGATACCTATATTGTGCTAACTTTACTGTCAACTATCACAACATCCATTTGTCACTGAAACAACTTTGAACAAGAAAGGTGTAAAAAATACACCTAGGCGACGAATTGTATATTATGTAAATTAGGGTATTATCAATTTAATTCATTTTTATTATATGTACGAATTGGAATATTCACTTCATAAGCTACATGTACATATATGTGCCTGGTTATCTACATGTCGGCAATCGACCAATATCGGGTCCCCATTCTTAGCTCGGTGTTTGTTGCTATTGTTTAGATTTAATTCCAATCTTTTATAAATATTTTTAAAGGGATATCTTATGTTTTACAAACATTTCAAACTTGTTCTTAACTTCTTAAGAAATTTCCGTAAACTACAAAACTTTCGAAATATTTTTGAGTCCGCGTACGATATTTCCAATGATTTCTAAAGAAAGGCAACTCGGTTCTACCATTCTTTTAATTTTTGTAAATGACCCGTGACGAAGTAATTTGCACATCAACACGAAGCGTTCTGTGAGCCAAAAATACTAGTAGGTATCGTTGATGAACCCTGCGGCGATCCTGCCGTCGGCGAGCACTCGACACGATGGCGGCCAGCCATTGATACTGAAAAACAGTGCCAAACCGTACGCTGCTTTTAATAAATCTCAAACTCTAGTGAAACATCAAATCCTTTCTGTTGTACCATGGTTGTACAGTCCATCCATATTTCTTGAGATAAAAAATAGGTACCCATTCACAAAAACGCTTGTAAATTCAAGGATCTTTCTCGCACAGTATTACGTAGATCTATTACACGGCGCCGAAACATGTCAAAATACACTCCGTCTTCCCTCTCGTCAAAAACGCCGTCCGTGCAAGTCATGTGTGCTTCCAAATAAGGAAGTCCGCGGAAACCGCTGGCAGCTCGGGCGATCGCGATCTTCGGCCTGCATCGGCGCGTGTGACGTCATGATCGGGCTCATTTGTATGCAGGCGTCTGCCTTTTGACTACACGGACTACAAAGGACGCCGCCAGAGAGCGTAAACCCAGATGCCGCGGGTGAAACTGCACATCAAGTAAATACGAAGTTTGGCTGGTAAAAAAAAGAAATTAAAATTAAGATCTCAGTTGATTGCCACTTTCGAAATTTTTGCAAATTATGACATTTTCGAAAACATGCTACTCAAGTACGTACATTTTTATAATAATTTCAGAATATTTATAATATTTTCAAAAATAAAAACATTGAGAAAATATTAAAGGTACTATTTTAAAAAACACGCGGTGACTTGGAATGGACTCTATAAGAGCGCACGTACAGCACATGAATCCAGATAAAATCTATCAAAAGTTGTAAGACATAAAAGGACATACTACTTGTGATGAAAGCTCCTTGTATAAAGTCAGTAGGAACAAAGATCACTGGATACCGGTACGGTGATCATTATCTAGTCTACCGAAGCGATCCTTTTCTCCACCGCTGCAAATTTTACATGCCCGGTCAAGCGGTCGTTGACCTTATATAATAGAAAGCAGGACAATATAGTTTACGTGCGCTCTGGACTCTGGATCGATACGCAAAAACCATATGTATATCATATACATTATCATTATGTGCATAACATAGCATGCTCTGTCGCTGTGTGTATATTCTGTAAGGGTAGGAATAGGCTATCAAACCCAAACCTTTTCGCAGGTACGGGATTGTCAGAAAAATGTTTATGAAAGCCGTTATGAACCCCCAATGCTACAGATATAGGCCTGGCGTGCTTGTAGGTGCTTGTATTATATCCTGGATGTTGTCCGTGTGCTGGTTCGCAAACAGGCCACGGTCACGAGGTCTGGTTTATAGATGTGTTGTCCGCCACACACGTTTGCAGGGACACCAACATGCATCCAAGGTTGATAAATAAATAAATAGAGTGACCACAGGTACACTCGCCAGAAACGTACAGAACGACCTTATAGAGGTAAAGTTGATCCGCGAAGATCAGGCGGTTCCACAAGTGTCATCTGTTGTTGTTCTGTCGAATTGAACGTGTTGCGGTGCGTAGATAAGAGCTCCTTGGTGACATTCGTTGTTTCCGATTCCGAATGCAGAAATGTATGTCCAGATACTAATATTTGCTATACACTTGATCTGGCCTGTCGTTCACAATTGACTTTTTCAGTGACTATGTCTTTACATAGCCTCTACCAGACTCACAACGCTGGCTATTTATAGTAGAATATTTGCCAGGGGAGTTTGACCGCCTTGTAGGACCTAGTAGGTTTGACTGGCCTTCGGAGGGAAAGATTTATAAGGGGGTCATTTAACTACCTCCTCGCGGCCGGACTCCCTTGGCCAATTTTAATCTCTTTTTTCCCCGAATTCTACGATCCGTATTCCCGTAGAAAGGCCTGGTGGATGCTAGTTTTTATATGCCTCAAATCGCCGCGTCACAATGTAACGTTGGATGCACTTTTGTCCGTTTTTGTTGGCACATATTTTTCTTTGTAGCGGTTTTAGGACAAACAGTAAAAGGAAACACAACAGAAGAAGAAGAAAGACACACATTATTTTTATAATCTTCCATGGGTTTCATCGTTATAGTAAATAAATGGAACCCGTCATTTCTTTTCGGCAGCGTTTTGGAATTTGAAAAGGCTTGCGCTGTGGACATGTGCTCATGTTGGTAATATAAGGGGCTTTACGTTTTCAGGTTTCGGGGAAGGTTTCTGTTTGTTTACACCGCCGCTACAACAACAAGCTTGACCCCTTTCGCACCATCCCATACAGTGACCCTGGCCAGATGGCCGGAGGTTGCCTCGCACAAGTTGTTGTGGTCAGCAGAAATGTAGTTAGATAATCGTATTCATTGTCTTGGCCAATCAGGCGTAATTGTCTTACAATTAGCAATATTTAATCCCTCCCATATATTCCAAAAATGGACAGAGCTAGCAAAACATGTTAATAAGGATGTGTCCTCGTATAAATATCACCGCGACCTACTCGCAGACTCATTACGCACGGAAAAAAAAAACCACGTCCATCGGCGGCGTGACCTCACGACCAGGCCGCGGGACGTGGAGCGCGGGTAGCCCGGCCAATCTGGAGCAGCGCACGGGCGTAGAATGCAGGCAGCCCCGGCCAACAGCGCGCGGGCGTGGAAAGCGGGTGTCCCGCGGCCCGGTCAACCCTCGCCGGAGCAGCACGCACACTTGGAAGGCCCCCGGATTTTAGTCGTGCAGGCACGGAGGTAAGCCCAAACTTGAGTAGGTTGAGACTGTTCTTTTAATATTGGAACCATGCCATATGTAGTGTGTATTTGTGTCCACGGTCTTGGTTCATGTTGCCTTCTTACGTGTACCATCAAACGGTGTATTATTTTGGTTTAAAGTTTTTTTGTGTAATGTTATGATTTTTTTGTGTGCATGTAACATGTAAGTTGTTCCATTTCGATCAGTCCGTTTTTCCATGCAGTCGTTCAGGCTAGGTGACATTGTCTCTGAGCGGCCCCACGTTCTGCTCGGGTACCGTCTCTTATTTTGAAATTTAAAGAATTGTTGTTCACACCGGCGTCCTGACGGTTCTGATACCGTTTCGTCCAAATGTTTTCCTTCGCTGTCAATCGTTGTTGTAAAGCTTGCGTAAATAACTCATTAATTTCGTTTCTACACTATGATAACCCTTTATACTATTCTAAATGACGTACCCACTAAACTTAGCCTGTTGCGATTCTCTGGCTTAAAGTAAGTGTTGCCCCCAGCTTCTGACAACAGTGATTTTCCCCACAGTTCCCGACAATGTCAACGTGAAAAGTTCTAGTGGTTTGGGGGAAATTGGGTCACAGAGTAAAGATGAAAACATTCGCCTTTACATTTGTTGAGGATGTAGAACTGGTTTCTTAAGATTATACAAGAAGAAGCGCAGGCGGGCGTCCATGACCGTAGATATACCGGGGAGGCTACGTATATACGGTGCTAGGGCGAATAATCGTTCCGTTGTATTTACAATCAGTTCCTTGACTCTGCTTCATACGTTTTGAGACTGACAGTTCATCGTTTTCAGAAAAATCCGCGCCTTGTACCGTCACATTCATGTATGCCCTGCTATCACCATGGTACATCGCGTGGATCATTTCATTTCCCAACAGCCACAACTATCAACTTTAAAACAATCATTTTAAAAACTTTGCTTTGACTGATGTTGTGGTTTGAGTAAACAAGGAAGCGATTCGAATCTGCTGTCTCGGCGGGGTTGATTGGACGGGGTGAGAGTATAGAAGAAAATTCGCCCTTTGTCTGTACAATAATTATATACTAGAATAGGGTACTTGCTCATTAAATCTTTTGGAACTTTCCCTACTTTTGCTTTTTGTCGGCTTATAATATCAGCGGTTATAGGAAAGGTGAGTTCGCTATAATTAGAAATGCATAATGCGGATTCGATGGCCAGTAAGCGGTAAACCATACGGGTCTGTTGGTTACATCATCGTACGATATTAAGAAAGTACGTGGCTATTGACACACCCGTTGTGGATATAAAATATTTCTCTTTCCTTATTGACACACCCGGTGTGGATAGGAATTTTTTCTCTTTATCGATTCACTTGGTGTGGATATAAAAAATTATTTTCTTATTGACACACCCGACGTGGATGTATTTTTTGTTTATTGACAATCCGGTACATCCTAACTCTAACCCTTGATGATTGATGCACCTACACTTTGCTGCTCTGTACGCATGTTCTCCTCCGCGGTCACGCTGAACGCTGTCGAACTATGCAGAATAACGCAACCCTAGAATATAACAAACTTCGTTAACTTGTTCTACACTGTTTCTTTCAGCTCTACATGACGACAAACACAAAAGTTACTCAAGAATACAAGACAGAAGAAGTGGAACAAAATACCAGGTAAGTGCCTAACCATCCTTATTATACGCAATATTGTAAATAATCACGATAGTTAGGCAATGTTCGCATCTCTATAGTACTTCTTTCACGATAAGCTGTGTGAGTTTTGAAAAGTACCATGCTTTCTATGATTAATGATTGCTGGGAAAACAATGTAGCCTGGGTGCCAGGCCCCCGTGCCATGATTCAGTTAAATTACATGATAGGACTATTAAAGCATGTGGCATATGTAATTGCGAACGAGAGAAACACAGGCAGATATTATGTAAATTAAGATTTAATTTGCATAATTAATGAGAAATTCAGCAATGTTGTAATTCAGCAATGGTAACTGCCTGGAATTTCATACCTAGGGCATTTGAAAGTTAGGTGAAGGTAAACATCATTAAATCACATAACTTATTCAAATATGGACCTCATTTGCTTTTCTCTTTTTGTGTCCACAGGTAAATTTCGCCATGTCTCACCCTGAGATGCAGACTACAGCAGGGATTCACTGGCAAGCACGAAGCCCAGTCAAGGAAGGATCGGGGTGTGCATTCATGATTTGCACGCAAGAAGATTGAAAAAACAAGCATTGAATGCAGCAGCATCGTGAAAGCAAAGAAAAAATATGAATAAAAAAAGCAAGACTGACACAAACACGCATGGTGGAAAACACACAAAACATCATCATTAGCACACAGTTAAGTTATAAATAAAAGCCCAGCATCATATGGTTGAAGCTAAAAACTTACTTAAAACATTATTCTTTTAAGCTTGAATATGCTGCTCCTTGTTCTTTCTTATGAGCAACAAAATTATTCTGTTTTATTTTATTCTATTTTTTCTCTCTTGATAGAAGAGAATATATTTGAAATATCAATAAAGACAATCATTAATATTCTGTGTGCAAAAAGCCACAGTTGGCCGGAAAAGGTGCCTTTTGCATGCATGGTAACATAGGCCTTTCCTACTTATAAAGTATCCAGTTATCGACTGACAACTAAGCCATTAAACTTTACACAAAAGACTTCTGCAAAAGATCAACCATCACTTTAGATATCCCTACTTGCTGTGTACAAACACAGTCATTCAAACAAGTAATTCCCTAGGGAATGCATTGACGGAATTTTTAGAATATTTTCAACTCGATCGCAGTACTATACTAACGGCTCCGCCCCTGAGGCGTCGCCAAAAACGAAATTTTTCAATCATCGTACAAATGGTTTTGATTCGGCAGTGGGAACATATAAAAGGATTGACATACATCACTGCATCAAAGTAAAAGTCAAAACAATAAATCAGAGCCTTGTCTTCTCTCTTGATGCTTATCTGCCCTACACGTTCCAGCATGGCAAGGCATGCCATTTTTGCCAATTTTTTTTGGCATGCTGACCACTGTCAAAGGGCAACAAAATTTCTTGTTTTTTCCCCAGAATGAGGCCAAAATCAATGCAGTGCACTGAGTTCTTGAGTCGTGGAGCTTTGGGTGCCGTCCTCCAGAGTTACCACCGGCTTCGTTGTCGCATGAGGCCAGAGACTCGGAAGACGTGATCTTTTTTTTTTTTTTTGAGATCAGACGAAAATTAATGCGCGCGCGGATGTCATCCATAAAATTAAATCGGTGTGGCCTTAATAATGCAAACTGTTCGTAAGTACCCCGGCAAGTTTTTCAAGAGGGTCACTGCGATTGATTTATTCATTCATATGTTTCTTCCCTCTTATTTGTGATTTCAAGAAAAGTTTTCTGCATGTGCTAAGATGTAAAATGTGCTGATATTTTCTACATGTGTCTATAAATGACTTTCCTTATAACTTTTATAGTCGTTCTCAGCACGTTTCGTGTACAAAAATCAAATTATGACTGAACGGTGAACCCACCATCACAAAATTATCGACTCATGCCTTCGTAACCCCGTTTATTCATTCTGAACACGTACAAAGTTAACAAACCAACCCTGCCAAGTGAAACGCAACCACTTCCCTAAGGTTACTAGCGGTCAAGGTCGGGAAGAAAACTTGGACCCCATTGTTACGCTTTACGTTAAATTCCAAGTGGCTACAGCGCATTACGTACGCAAAAACGCTCTACGTACACTCTACGTAGAATTTAAACGGCCGATTTGACATATATATTTGCGCTCTACGAAAAAGTTGGACCCCATGCAGAGGTCGGGCCCCTTCCCGGAAATGACGTCGACGTTCGGCTGAAACGAAATTAGCCGAGGCGCCCACGAGTCGATCACAGACAGAAGCAGGCGCACTCCACGTTTGTTTGCCGTCTGAACTTCAAATCTGGCAGTGTGGCAGGTATGGTAGATCAGATTATAACTTTGTGTAATTTACTACTGTCTGTTGGCAACCATTTGTATACGTGCAGACCATGAGGATGTGAGTGAACCTGGAGTCCCCTTAAGGGGGGCCAGATTGGGGGTTTCTCAAGTCAAGCGCTGAGTGTGTTTGTCTGGTCTCATAGCTGTAGGGGGGCCTGCAAGGGGGGGGGGGGGTCCCGACAACGCTCTACGCTAAACAACACGGGGTACATGCCCGTAGCCATGATTTTAAATGGGGGGCAGGGGTTCTGCCCAGTTCTTGAGGGACCAGCGAGCGCCGTAGGCGCGAGGTTCCTTTGGGTGTCCGGGGGAAATTTTGAATAATGAAGCTTCTGAAATGGTATTTCCTGCGTTTTTGTGCCCGTTTGCCGCTTGGATTACGCTAAACGTACAATTAATCGATTACGCTTTACGGCTAATTCCCGATAGCTATAACGCATTACGTAGAATTAAAACGGCGAATTACGCTCTACTAAATGCGCCAATTACGCTCTACGTTGAATTAGAGGGTCCGTCTACGCTCTACGTAGAATTTAAACGGCCGATTACACTCTGCGGAAAAGGGCTTGCGGGCCCCCTGTAGTGTATAAAACGGAGGGGCATCTGCATGTGTTTAAGATGGGTCGTGGCGGGCGGGGGGCGTGGTCAAGTCTTTCCATCTTCCTCTCGATTTAGATTACGCTTTACATTAAATAATTTCCAAGTGGCTACAGAGCATTACGTACGCAAAAGTTACTAGTATGCGCTCAGTTACGCTCTACGTTGAATTTGAGCGGTCCGTCTACGCTCTACGTAGAATTTAAACGGCCGATTTGACATATATATTTGCGCTCTACGAAAAAGGGCATGCGGGCCCCCCTATAACTTAGGCCACAGCAAGTAAATTTTATGGATGACATCCGCGCGTGCATTAATTTTCGCCTGATTTTGAAAAAAAACAAGAAATTTTGTTGCCTTCTGACAGTGGTCAACATGCCGAAAATGGGCAAAGATGTCTGTTGCCATGCTGGAAGGTGGATGGCAGATAA